TTGTTCAATTCATGATACTAGTTACTTTGAATGTATCGATCACTATTTCAACAAGAATTGAATTGTTTCAATAACTATGAATTGTCCTTCTAAAGGAAAGTTAAACTACGAATCATCGTATATAAAAATTACTACGCATGGTAAGTCCTGTAGTATTTCGTCCTTATTTAAAGAACAAATTAAATGAAAAAAATATTGAATTTCATGAAGACTCCATTCGCCGGGTGCCCTCTGCTCGTTCCGTTCCATTCAGTTCCGTAAAGTTCTAATAGCCGTTTTAAATGACACTTAATTAGGCATCTATCTATTTACTGACCTCGAAAGCAGTAGAAACTATTACCCGAGTTGTGTCGAGAAATTGCTTGAATCATACCAGGATCAACATTTTGTACACAAGACGCGCGGCGGCGCGTTTCGTCTACATGGTCTACAAAAGACTCATCAGTGACGCTCGAATAAAAAAAGTAAATAAAACACAATAATATTATAATATGTAACTTTTCTCCTTCATAACATCTATATATATGTACGTTTCGGTAATAATGCAAATCAACATGTTGTATGTATTCATATGGGCACCGATTGCAACCCTTTAATCATGTTATAGCAGACGTGTTTCTGTATTGTAACAGTTTATGGTCAAACTCAGCCAAGGCCCGTCTTAATTCGATTAAATTGATAAATCCAACAACATTTACTTTCATCTTATTTCAGTTCTACATGGGCAAACATTTTCGGCAAAAGAGACGATTTTTCGGTCCCTTTTATTAATTTTCCTTCATTGGACGGTGGTGAAGAAATATCTGTATTACTGAAAAATTATTACAACGGTGTTTTCGATATCACAAACTTGTCAAAACATTTACTAAATTTTATCATCGGTACAAGGACATTCGTAAATATGAATCAACGTGCAGACATCTTATACCATACGTTCAGGTATTTCACATCCCATCTTTTATATGGTAACATTCTGTACAAAGCACATAAATGTCGTCATTCACCTCAAAAGCTAACCAAACCTTTAAACAGACTTATTCAGAAGGGATATAGTTACGATACTGTTGCATGATGTGTTGTCAGGTCATTAAAGATGGCATTTTTGGAATTTGTACTGATTCACTCATAGGGTCTTTGCATCGGAAATAAACACATTTGTTCTAAAAACCAGTTGTTGGCATGGGTTATATATACATATATGTTCTTCTCGTACATTTTATGATGGTATGATACTAAACCGCTAACGGGAGGGACTGTGCTTGATTTTTATCGGATGAAGACATAATCATTCAATCAGTTTAATTAAGGTCTGGAGCTGGCATGTCAGTAACTGCTAGTAGTCCTTTGTTCATTTATGTTAATCATTGTCATTTTGCTTAGTTTCTTTTGTTACTTATTCTGACATTGGACTCTGACTTCTTTTAAACTGAGTTTTACTGTGTGTATTGCTGTGTGTTTGTTTATTCTACATTGACTAGAGGTATAGGGGGATGGTTGAGATTTCACAAAACATGTTTAACCCCGCGCATTTTGCGCCTGTCCCAAGTCAGGAACCGCTATTGCCTTTGTTAGTCTTGTATGTTTTTTTAAATTTTGGTTCATTTATGTGTTTCGGAGTTTAGTGTGACGTCCATTTTCGCTGAACTAGTACACATTTTTGTTTAGGGGCCAGCTGAAGCCCGCCTCCAGGTGCGGGATTTTCACGCTGTGTTGAAGACCCATTGGTGGCTTCGAGCTGTTTTCTGATCTTTAGTCGGGTTGTTGTCTCGTTGACATATTCCCCGTTTCCATCCTCTATTTTATGTTGGTGTTTGTAGAGACGTTACTCATTTCAATGAACGAAATCTGTATATCTTTGACCACTATATAATTACTTAAAATCTTTACTGATTTTTTCCATAGCTAGGATATTATATTCTTGTATTTCAATACGATGATGTTGTTTAAAGAGCTGTTTGTAATTAGATTTCTACAGGTAGAGCAATACTTCCAAAACCAAATAGTTTTAAATAATTTAATTGAGCCTGGGTAAAGAGGTAACAATTTACCAGTGATTCATCGATTTCGTTTTTTGACTGAATCTATTATAAACATGCGGATAAAGTCTCTACACAGATACGAGGGCATAGCGAACGAGTTGAGAGATTTATATACAACGTAAGCATGGTAAGATATGGTTCCAAAGAAACATCACTGTCAAATGAAGGAAAATGAACGATATGAACCGAAAAATCGTCCCTTTTGCCTTTTTTTGTTTTGTTTCCCATGTATTATATGTCTCTGGTGCCATATATATAACATGTTAACAAGGCCCTTTATGATCCTTTATATTTTCTTCAGTGGATGATATTATATATCCCATTAACAAAATTCTAAATTAGTTTGCAAATTTCTAACTCATATTTACGGTTTTGTAATTAGCATTTACAATAATATCAAGATGAAGATTCAAACAAAGTATTATCTGTTAATAAGTCCAGGATGTGATTCGTATAAACCTATGTTTAACCCACATTTGCGATTTTCGAAACTCATATTAACGACTAAAAATATAGAATTTTGATGTAAAATAATTTTTTTCATGGTATACCTACAACACAACTTCTATTTGAAACTGGGTCACCCACTTATTCAAACCCATTGCCCCGGCAGTTCTGTATGGCTAGGGATTATAGATTCTGCTCTAATAAATAGCTTTTGGGTAGTACTATATAAGTTTAAGTACAACATTTTAACAAACAATAAGTGTGAACATATTTACAATGGGACTATTATACTAACATTTTTACAGATTTACAGATTCAGATTCATATTCAATATTTTATTAAAGTCTCACCACTTGTATAACATTATACATTCCAATATACATATAAAACATTGCGTATAACATAAAATATTGAAAAACATATATAAAACATATAGTATATTAAAACTAACAGTAAAATATCATTAGCTTAAATACTAAAACATGCATATACAAGCGCCATTCTATTAAGAATTATGAGAGACTATTAAATGATTAATTATATACAATATTTAACATAATTTTAAAACTATATATATCTAAGATTTAAAATACATCATCAGCTATATACAAATAAGAAATTTGTTCTTCTACCTAAAATATTAAAGTAGGTTTTAGCAACTACCTGACATAGTTCTTCATTTCTGAATAAAAATATAAACTTTTCGTCATTAGATAAGTTATAAAATTGATCATTATGTTTTACTGCTTCACTATACAATATATTTCGAAGGTCTGCATATAAAGGACATAAAGTAAATACATGTTTTTCGTCTTCAATTTCATTTTTACACATAAAACAAGATCTTTCATTTATTGGTTTATTCTCATATCGTCCTGTTTCTATTTTAAGTGGAGCAACACCACACCTAAATTTTGCATAAGCACTTTTAAATTTAATAGGCATATTTTGTTTTAAATATAACTCTGTACAATATTGTGATTTATATAGCTTATAAGTACGAAGCTTGTTACCATTACCCTGTGACAAAATTTTCGTTTGCCATTCTGCAATATATTTATTAAATAAAACGTTTTCAAGTTGTAGAACAATATTCTTATGCAGCACACTATCAATACTAGTATACAAATCAAAATTACAACCTTTAAGTTTTTTCATGACTCTATTACACCAGTTTTTCTTATTATTCACAGCATTTTTATGTGACCATTTGAAAACTTTATAATTTATTCTGTCATTGGTCATGACACTACATCTTGCCCATGCAGTGCCTAAAGATACATGTCCATTGTTTTACACTAGGTGGTCTCCAGCCCATGTCCCCGTTAATAGCATCGTTTGACGTATACTTGCCAACACCCATAAAGAACCTGATAGCTCTGTTCTGGACAGCTTTTATACAAGAAAATGAACGAGTGCCCCAAATGGATGCACCGTAGCTTATGACTGGCCAGACCAGAGTATCAAATAATGTTGTAAAGGTATTGTGCTGGAAACCACATGTGTGCTTTACTTTTAACAATCAATAAACTTAGAGCTCGACTTGCCGACCTTGCTACAGCTTTAGCCATCTCATTATAATCGAGATATTCTGTCAACATTAGACCCAGATATTGGTAACAAGATACTATTTGTACTGTATTATTATTTAACAAAAAAGATTTAGATGTTTGTTGAACCGAAGGGTTCCTAAAATGGATAACTTTAGTTTTATCTAAGTTCACATTCATACAATTGGTAACACACCAACTACTTAATACATCTAATAGAGTCTGTAAATTATTTTCATTTTCAGCAATAAATACAATGTCATCAGCATATAAAAGTATACCAACTTTTTCACCATCAATGTCTACACCAATGTCTATAGTGCTTTTATTACATCAATTAAACTATTAATAAAAATATTGAACATAACAGGCGATAATACACATCCTTGTTTTAAACCTGAATTAACGCTAAACCAGTCTGTCATATTACCATTAAGTTTAATACAACATTCTACATGTGAATATATAGCTTTCCAATGTACATACAAAAATGTGTATTAATTCCTAAATCATCCAATTTAGTAAACAATAATTTTCTACTAACAGTATCATACGCTTTTTTAAAATCTATGAAAGCTGTGAATGTTGATAACTTTTTCAGTTTTCTAGTTTCAATGTACTTAGATGGTCAATGGTACTTCTACCTTAAACGGAAGCCATTTTGCTCATCATGAATAATATCTCTTTGTTCTAACCAATACACTAATCTATCATTTACATTAGAACAACATGGTAATCAAAGGTGCAATAATAGTACATATAATGAATACTGATATGTGACAGGAAGTACAAATTATAGTAATATGATTAAGCACATGTATTTTAAAAAAAGATTTTAATAAGGCTCAGCGCTACGAAAACGGCGGGAACTTCGGTTACTGCCCTTTAACCAAAAAGGAGAGATGGGAAAGCTACATTTCTTTGTATATTCACCTTACGCCTTGTTTGAAATGCCTTTTTGTTTTGTCAGATATTTAACAATAAAACAATGAAAGAAAAAAAGAAAGAATTTTACTATAAAAGTCTAGGAAGAAAATCAGAAGCAGTTCATCAAATAGTTTATAGGTGGCGCTGTGTTCTGTTGACTCCAAAACGAGGAATCAAGATGGTGGGTTACAGCGAAAACGTTTTGAAATAGACTAGACAAAACCCATTGTGTAGAAATTTGTTTATACAAAATGAATGAAACCTCATGTATAAATAGAGATCTTAATAACGGAAATAAGTACAAGGGCTTAAACCTCGACCGTTTGTGTAGATCATAGTATCCTGTTGTTACTATGGCCGGTCATGAAAACAACGAATTTTCTTAGTTTTTGCATCATATTGACTTCATTTTATGATCCGTATTTCTGAAATGCCCATTCTACATTTTATCCATGATGAAAAATAACCGATGTATGTTGAGTCCGTAGTTGTTACGATTACGCAGAACACCGTGACCATGTGTCATTGCGAATTTTCCATTTGAATCCGATCATTTACAATTTACTGCGTAAGAAATAAGATACAGATCCTGTGCGATACTAAAACATAAAGATACCAGGTTATTCTCAACCCCCTGCAGTTATAAACAAATATTGTAATTAGTTATATAGATCCCTTATTAATTGTTTGATGAGGTTGTAGGACTGGCCTGTGAATATTTTTTTCTGTGCAAGTCTGTTACAGTACGCACTGTATGGGGGGAATCCGGGTCCGTTCGCGCCCATTCACGTTCGCCCCCTTTCACGTTCGCACCCCGGGTCCGTTCGCACCCTACACGTTCGCACCCTTTTTATTGATTTTGTCTTAAATAATTTTTCAATCGTATTTTGTTAAGTGTATTGCTATAAATATTTTTTTTGTTCATTGTTTTAAAATGAAGTGACTTTCTAAAAACGATTTTTGTGTTGAATAATTTTTTAATCGTGTTTTGGTTATTGTATTGCTATAAATAAGTTTTTTTTCATTGTTTCAAAACATGCAAAAATAAAGTGACGTTTTTTGTGTTGAATATCTTTTTAATCGTGTTTTGGTTAGTGTATTTCTGTATTTTTTTTTTTCATTGTTTCAAAATAAAGTGACTTTCTAAAAAAGGTTTTTTGTGTTGAATATTATTTAAATGTTAAGATACCAAACCGCTTTAAACTCAACAACAATAACATTTTGAATCTTAATTGTTTTTACTCATACCAAGTTAAATACATGCTAATATAACTACATGCAGAATTTACATCAAGTTTAGCTGTGTAAACACCATATATAATTAACAGTAATCATAAATAATTAATCATCAAATCAATTTAAAACAATATTTCATTTAAAAAATTCAAAAATTGCCGAATTTTTCTGTATTTTGAGATAAACATCTTAAAAAACATCTTATAATTCATCGGGTTTTTGAATAAAAAAAAAGGTGCGAACGGACCCAGGGGGCGAACGTGTGGGGTGCGAACGTGTAGGGCGCGAACGGACCCGATACCGTATGGGGGCATGGTTTAGTGGTTAAGACTGATGGTCCTGAGTTCCATTCTAATTCGGGGCGCCCAAAAATGTCAGTACATCAGTAAGGTGATTTTCACCCTCGAGCTCCCACACACATCTATGGTACATAGAATGGGTACTTTGGGGGCCTCAGTTGGTCAATGTTGCCTCCAACTTTAACCCAGAGATAAATCTACTGATATCTCTTGGGTTATTCTGTGTCTGCCGAGCTGCCCAGAGGTTCTCTCCAAGTTCTTCGGCTTCCTCCGCTATAATAACAGACTGCCCGGTGTCCTAGCACTCCCTTTGTGTTTGGGTGGGAATTGTCCTTGTAAATACGTTGGTGACACATCTCCATTACTCCCTATAGGGAGCATACACAAATTCCACTGTACCCTCGCAGCTCTCGAGGGGTGCTCCGAAACAGAGGGATCTATGTAGATACATACATACATACATTATGTACATATACATACAATGTAGTAAGACCCATTGGTGGCCTTGGGCTCTTTGGTCGGTTTGTTGTCTCTTTCACACATTCCCTATTTCCATTCTCAATTTTATTTATAACATGAACAGACTTACAGTCTTTACAGAACAAAAGTATTTACCAGACTTGATGGTATCTATAGACTATACTGTTCACTAACGTGATTGGGATGTCAATAAGTTTATCTCACTTTTGTGTCTGCTGCTTCATCTGAACCTTTTGATTCTCTTTTGAAAAAATTGTGAACCCGTATTTTACTCATATGATGTACATTTGTACAATCTTATTCTATTCTCATGTAAACCCCTAATTAGAATTTAATCAGTACTGCAGATAACAATTATGTATGGCATATATATATTATAAAGTGAACTGCGTTTAAACCAAATATACTGCATATACGAAGTCATACCACATCTCCTTATCTTTATATACATACATTGTATATTTCCTCCCCATAATGGCATATAACATGTATAATATACATACATTGTATATTTCCTCCACATATAACATGTATAATATACATACATTGTATATTTCCTCCACATATAACATGTATAATATACATACATTGTATATTTCCTCCACATATAACATGTATAATATAATCATGGTTATTATTTGATGGTCTTCATTTATATAGAGAAACATCAAAACACAGTTCTAGCGTTCCAAAGTGTTGTCTATTATCTTTGACTTAAGAATTTTGATTGCCCCTATGGATTCTTTTTCCCCTTTTGTCTCACCTGCAACGAAAGTCATGGAAAGCGAGACATAGTGATTGCTTTTCCGGCAACGGCGATGACGGCATCAACAATTGTTAAGTTTTCTGCCTAAGTTAGTTTGATAGGAAGTACTTGTGATAGATCAATGATGTTTTGTATGAAGTTGCATTACTATCAGTACATATCAGTTTGACGATAATTTTGAGGCCATGGTCCAGTGATTTTGATTTAGTTAGCCATTTTCAATGTTGAAGTTTTCTGCTTAAGTTAGTTTGATAGGAAGTACTTTTGATAGATCAGTGATATTTTGTATGAAGTTGCATTACTATCAATTCATATCAATTTGACGACTATTTTGAGGCCCTGCCCCCTAGGCCATGGTTCAGTGACTTTCAATAAATTAGCAATTTTCAATAAGTTTTCTACTTAAGTTAGTTTGATATGAACTACTTGCAATAGATCAATGATATTTTCTATGAAGTTGCATTACTATCAGTACGGCTACATGTATATCAATTTGATAACTATTTTAAGACCCTGCCCCCTAGGTCATGGTCCAGTGACTTTCAATCAGTTAACAATTTTCAATGTTAAGCTCAATAGGAGCTTACAATAGACAATATATTCTATAAAGTTACATTGCTGTTTGTACATCTCAGTTTGTCAACCATTTAAATATTAAAAGTTATTAGAGAAAAATAACATACATGTGTTATTACAGATACTTTCATGAGTTGTCTGCTCTTTATTTCTTAATCTAGTAACATATGTTTGTTATTAGTTAATATATCAAAATATATTTTTGTTTTTAGTGGGCTCTTGGGATTTCTTGAAACTTTGTGCAGAAACTTAATGTATAGCATTTGTATAGCCTTGATAATTAATTTTCCAATTCAATTAATACATTTTTGATCAACCATGATAAATCAATGAGACAAGGCTTTTAAGGGATACACTAAAATGTAATAACAAGACTTAGTTATTACAGGCATGTAACTTATAAAATGAGACATTTGGGAATTACTGGGAAGCTTGCTCAGAACCTCATTACATGCTCTGATCATTATTTCGTACAATGAATTAAAATACATTGTGATATATGTCTGAGAAATCGGTTTGAAGAGATGTAGAAAAGATGTAATAACACCCTTTAGTTATTACAGGCATATATTTTCTGTAATAACATAGGTGTACTATACATGATTGGCAAATTATAAACTGTTATATCTTTCTAAAGTTAAGTATACATAAAGACAATAATAATACCAGTAGAACTTGTATACAATTTAACAAAGTAAAATGCCCCCCCAAGAAAAACCAAGATACGACACCAACAAAATCTCACTACGATGTCTTTATACGATTGGGAATTTTAGAGCTGAAAATTTGGAAAAAAAGAGCATATTTCTCTTTAGGATTGGGACCCAAATTCTGACCCAAAATGAGGGTTGGAAATCCCTGGATGCATGGTTACCAAGTGTGTGATCCTGGTTCCTTGGATCCCCAATTTAATTCTAGTACATATATTAATTCTCCAAAGCTAAATTTATTCATTTTATATTTATTATACTTTTAGGATGTATTTTTAATGTTACGAAGGAAGAAGGCGACTATCTTCACAGATGCAAAGGAGTCGACAACCGTGCATGAAGTAAAGAGAATAGTTGAAGGTATTCTCAAGGTCAGACCTGAAGATCAGAGGCTGTATAAAGATGATCAGGTTAATACTTTATTAATATATGTAGGCTGCTTGCATTTTGCCATTAAAATAAAAATAATGTATGGTCTGAAGGTTGAAATTTTTTTTTTATTATATTTTCCTTAGCAGTAATTCACAGCAAAATTCATGCCTTCTTCAGCAGAAAGTAGACATTTATTAAGTCTCTCAAACAAAGTTTGGAGACTTATTGGTTTTGCTCAGTTCTTATTATGGCACCCTCAACAGAGTTGGTCACTTGATAAAGGAAAATGGAAAAAATTTTCGTTTCCAAATTCATTTGTCATGTTTGTAGTTTAGAATCAATTGAACACATCAAGTGCATCTGGTTAATTGTAGTTTCTCAGAATGGAAAATGCATGCATTTATTTCATTAAAATCATTTCATTATTACCCACTACAAATCTTTATTCAACATTTTTCACAAACGGGTATGAAATTTCTTGTTGCTACAAACGTTGATACAGTGTATGAATATAAAGATAAGGAGAAGTGGTATGAGTTCGTTTATGATGTGACTTCTCAGTTCTGATTTGAAGTGACGGCTTGATACTGGAATTGTTACAAATGACAATCAATGATAATATTGGTTATATTCTATAATGAAATTAATTTAATAAACTATATTAATATAACAGGCTATCCACTATTTCTCACAACAAATGGGAGAAATGAAATAATTTTGATCACAACACATGGGGGTTTTGTCCCGGTGAAAGTTTCTCTATGGAGGTCACTGATATTTTTAGAGAAACACCCTGACCACCCAGTCCATAAATTGTCAAATAGACCCCAGTGCAAAGAAATATTTAAGTATTTTGACCACAGGCTTTTGTCTCTGCAAAAAAAAAGTATTATATTAATGTATATTTGAAAAAAAATTCCGAGTCAAGTGCCTGTGAATTTGACATTATTTTTTGAGCCATTGGACAACACTTAGATGCCAGGACGTTAGATATTAACATTTATATTTCAACAATTGGAATACAAAAAGATGTCTGAAGTTTTATCTTTGCGTTTGTTTTTTTATTTTAGCCATTGGACGACAATAAGACATTAGGAGACTATGGTTTTACTTTTGCCACAGCTCGAGCACAAGCACCAGCTACTATTGGATTAGCTTTTAGACAAGATGGTAGGTTCAACAGGATGTCACAATATTTTTATATCACAGGACTTTTCAATGACAGTGCATGCGCAGTGTATATATAACATATATATAAACACACTCTTTGGAAATGAGATATGTATAAAACACAAGGCAGGGTTGTTTATAGTAGGGTCTGTAGCCTGGAGGATGAGTTATATTTTAATTCATGTAATCATGATGTTTTTTAAACTTGCTTGGCTCAATATATAGCCACAGTGCACTTCTGAGCTGACGTTGAATAAAAATCTGTGGTTTATAGTTTAATGATCATCTTGTTGGTAAAAAGTTTGTAATTATATTTATTATGAAGTCAACAAACAAAGAACAACTATGATATACAACAACATGTGACAACCAAGGTTCCGGAAACGATCATATTTGCTAGACATGACCTAAACTGAAAGCTATTTGTCCTAAACGAAAAATTGGGATTTAGGACAAATTTTATTTTTTTAAAGAAATAATTTCGGTTATTTCATTGAGATCAGGTTTCTTAATCGCAATTTTGCACTTATATTTGTTTTATAATCCCTTTCCTGTAATAAATCTGCCACTCCAGTATAGTTTAATAATCCTGAGGGCCCTCCTTAAAACTATATTAATGCCTCCGGGAAATATTGGCTAATGATCACTAATCGCTTTTTACCTGTGTTTTTTTAATCACACCTGTCATTGATCACAAGCTCAGAACTATTAGGGACTTATTATTTTTTACCTGGGAGGGGGTGGGGGCTGGTCCAAATGTAGGGGGGGTCAAGTTTTTTTCTGTAAGTGGAAAAGGGGGTTCAAATTTTTTTTATAAATTTTGAAGTGGGGGATCAATTTTATCTCTAATGAAACATTTGTGAACTTTTGAATCTTCAAGTATATCATATATGTATGTCATGTGTGTCAAAGGTAAGTGTTTTGCATGTTAAAATTTTGGCATGTTTAATAGAGAGGGGATCAAATTTTTTTAAATGTTTTTAAGGGGGGATAAAATAAAAATAATGAAATATTATAGGGGATCAAGAAAATTTTATATGTTTGATTTCTAAAAAACCAGCCCTCCCTCCCAGATAAAAAATGATAAGTCCCTAATAAAGAAATTTAAATTCCATGACAACTGTATTCGTTATTTAATTACTTTTCAGCAAAGACACTCATCAATTCTGAATTAAAAATTAAAACTTAATCTAATTTACGTAGAAAAAAGTAATTTTTCACGAGTAACACACATGCTTTATTTACTATGTAATTCACATGTGTGAAATTGTCTTCAGCAGATTAGACACCTAATCGAAAAATGCAAAATGATTTCATGCCAAATTAAACGAGTGCAACTATTATCTGTTATATTCAAACACTTAAATAACTTTTAAAGGTAATAAAATTAAAAAAGCGGTGATTTCCTGTCAATTTGATAAACAAAATGATTCCCGGAAATGAATCCGGAATTACTCGTACTTTATGTATTGTCGCAAAACTTCCGGTTTTAATTTCGTCTTCAAAATCAAAAGAAACATTAGCGATGTCTGAGAAATTAACCATTTTGAGTCATTAAAATCATTTCAATTTTAAACTGTTGCCTTCCCTAAACTGTTCTTGAACGTTTTAGAGAAATGGTAAGAAAATTCACGAATTAAATGCAATGAAACAGTCAATACAAGTTCGTTGATGCTTTGAATCTAGTGTTATATCAACAATTGGAAGAAGGGACACCATCTTTTAAGTCATCTTAAAATGACCGAATTTGTAAACTATTTCCGGATCCTTGGTGACAACCATTGAATTACAGGTTCCTGATTTGGGACAGGCACATACAGAATGTGGCAGACTTAAACATGTTTGAGGGCACCCAACTCTCCCCTAACCTGGACAATGGTACAACAGCACAACATAAGAACAAACTACAAAAACTTTTGAAAAGGCTTAATTCTTCAGATCAACACTAAACAACACTGCTAACTAAACTACTAAAGCATGTAAAGACTGGGAGTACTCCTAGTTACTTAAAGCATGTAAAGACTGGGAGTACTCCTAGTTACTTAAAGCATGTAAAGACTGGGAGTACTCCCAGTTACTTAAAGCATGTAAAGACTCGGAGTACTCCCAGTTACTTAAAGCATGTAAAGACTGGGAGTACTCCCAGTTACTTAAAGCATGTAAAGACTGGGAGTACTCCCAGTTACTTAAAGCAAGTTCAATGCAAATAACAACTAATAAAAAAATAATTTATCTAGGACTAAAAGTTTGCATTTTGGTTTTGTTGACCTTCATTGGAAGGAATTAGGGATCAAAGGATATATTTTTGTATATGCTGAAAGACAAATGTGTTTATGTCATTTAAAATGTCAGTTAAGACATGAACTGGTTTATCATGATTAATATTAAACAAACCCATTGTAAATAACCATAAACAGTCACTGCTTTCCTACAGATTTCTTTTTTTTTTTTTTCAGATGGAGAATTTGAGGCATTAGAAGTAACACCTTTGTCTAATCCTCCAGAATTACCAGATGTCATGAAGCCACAGGATACAGCCACACATGCACAGGAACAAACAGCATCATAGTTCTCTCCTCATTATCATCGGATCATCACGTTCAAGGGGAGATAATTCTCCAGTATTTTTTTTAAGCCATCAGTACTAGCAGTTATTTTGACATTTTAACTTAATTTATTTTGTACTTTTCCTGTACTGTTTATTGTCTTTTTAAAGAGGATGTGAATGGTTGTTTGGTTGAAGAAGGATGGATGCATGTTTAAGAACTGTTAACAATTACTGCCAACTTAAAGTATTTGCAATGATATAATCCAATGCTACTTTAGTAGAGGCTTCATGGTAAATTATAGAAGACAGCTGAGAACAGATACAACAATCTTAAAAAGATAAATAAGTTTTTACCCTTGTTCCGGGTCTTCCTTTTTCCAGTTCAGCTATACAAATTTTTCATAAAAATCAAATGCTCCGTTAATTTTTATTTCTCCATATTTTATCACTTTTAGAAGAAGAAAGGCCCAGTGATGTCTATTGAAGAAGGCAATGAATATACAACTTTATGTCAACACTAATAATATCCATAGTGCTTTTATTTATTTTAGTATGGAGAACTTTTTCTTTATTTGTGCCGGATTTTTTTTTTTCCTTTTGAAACTTTTATCATTTTATGTAAATTTTCAAGAGGAAGTGTTTAAATCCACTGATAATTGGTAATGGATACCCCATACATCAAAGGTAAAAGGTCAGAAAATATATGTATACACACAGTTTTGCATTTATACATAATTCCTTCTTGTAGATTTAAATTATCTGATTAATAGGTCTATTTATTGAGCAGTATTTGAATTGATTTGTTTATACTTGTATGCTTTTTTTTATTACCAAGAACAATTCTTTTTATTATAAAGTCATGAACATGTGTTAACAGTACCTGAATTAACAGGAGACTAATGATTAATAGGTTTCGGAGGATTTACGGCTTCACATACCGGTAGTTGAAATGGTAAAGTCTTTCTCAATTGTTCAAGTCCTTACATTTACATTTTCAATATTTTTGAAGTTGTTGGGTTGCTGTTCAATGGACATTTTCCTCACATTTCCTTTTATTTATTTAATAAATAATTTTATCACATTATAAAAAAGGGTAAATCAATTATATAATTACAGTTGAGCCTCACATGTTTTTATGTTCATAGATATACAGTATAAACAATGAAATCCATAAAGCAACTCAAATTTTCTGTAAAAGTCTCTAAGTAAAATATGTAAATGTTTTTAAATATTTGCTGAAACTGTTTCATATTTAAACCTGCGATACTCCATAAAATGTGTATTGCATTTCTTCAGTTCTGAGTTTGTTTCTGATTCTTACTTATTTAAATATTATGAAAAATTGTACATGCAATAAGTAGTTCATTTATTAAGAATTAAAGATGTATGAAAAGTGTTTAGTGCTGTCTCGGCAGTGTGTTTGTACATGTTTGTATTGGACTGAAATGTTACACGATATAAATATAGAATGTACTGTTAAGAGTTCAGTTTGTTTGCCATTTACTATTGCCAATAGTTTTACTCTTAACCCTGGCCTTGCAGTCTTAAAAATTTCAAGAAAACCTATCTTCTCATTTTATTTCAAAATTCTCAAAGATTTCTTTTATTCACAAAAAAAGTGTTTTTTCATATCATTAGTCAATGATATTTAGTATGCAATAACTTTTATATAAGAATTGACAAATCTCATTTCCATGGATATTATTTTGCCCCTGCCCCTCAGTCATGGTCCATAAATGACTGAAACTTTTGCGTAGTTAACATTTTAAAGTTTGTGATTAGGTTAGTTTAAGGTAGATCATAGGTATATATTTCCTCAGATAGAATTTTTTATACTTTGCCAAAATAAAGATTTTTCTATGCTTTTTCCAAAAATATAATAAAAAGTATGGGTCACCGTGCTATTTTTCAAGCTACGGGTCATCAGAAATTGCACAAATTTTCTTAGATTGTTCATGAAAAAAACACATTTTTGTGCATAAAAAGAAATCTATGAGATAGAATTTTGAAATAAAATATGAGAAGATAGGTTTTATAATATGCTTTAAGAAAATAAAAAGAAAAAATGGTGTCACCTACTTGTTTTCTTGCTACAAGTACAAAATTAAAATTTCCCTATCAGTCCAGTATAATTTTTTACTAAAAGAATTATCTCCCCTTAAATGGCCAAGTTGGAAAAATGATTCTAAAAACACAATTATTTGGTATTTATTTAAACATTTTGAATAATGCAATAAATCACCAAAAAGTCTCTAAATTTGCAGATTTGGGCAAAGATCTAGACCGATTGTGTACTGCGATTGTACAATCCAAGATGGCGGTATACCATGAATCTACCTTAAGATAAACCATTATTAGTAATGCAATGATATTTGGTATACATTTGTATTAACATTTGAATGTTAAGTTTCCATGGAGATTATATGGCCCTCATCCTTATCGTGGTTTTTATGCCCCCTGCAACTGAAAGTTGGGGGGGGGGGGGGGGGGGGGGCATATTGTTTTATCCCCATCCGTCTGTCCCATTATGGGTATATAGTTATTCCTGATAACTCTTCCTACAGTTTAAATGTTAGGAAGTTTTCACTTTGATGGCTGTTTGTACATATATTGAAGGTGTGCATGTGGTCAGGGTTTTGATTTTTATTGATATTTGCTCTTTTGGGAGATAGTTGAAGTTTGTCATTTTCGGAGTATATACTTGCATAAGAGGTGCATAGCGTTTCAGTATAACTCCTCCTACAGTGAACCATAGACCTATGTGCTCCCATGCTCAACTTTGTGTATTTTAGAATAACACTTTGAATCTGCGGGGGTATCATTTGTGTCTCCAAGACACAATAATATTGCAAAGAAAGTCCTACATTGACTTTGTTATAATACAGTTACTTCAGAATGAAGTGCGGGGGCATCACTTTGTCTAGTTTAACTTTGAAATTTTTACATAGTTGATGTGCAATTTTGTGATTAGATCAGATTTAATGGAAACATTTATGATAAATCAGTGGTATTTTGTTATGCAGTTGCATCATCATTAGTATTTCTTATTTCTATCCTGCACCTTCAGTCATGGTTCTTTGACTTTGAAAGTTTAGCATAGTTTACATGTTAAAGTATTGCTATTTCAATTCCATCATTTGCATTATACTATCAAAATTACATAAAGGCTACAAATATCTTTAAGTAAACAGTTTATTTATTATGTCTCATGCCTAACATATGCTAAGAACTTATTGCTTTGACTTTATCTTCACCTGCAAGTGGTCTTGTCAAATTCAAGTGCTACTACACATCAAAGGTTGTGCACTGATATTTGGTTCTGGGTAAGTTCATTAATTGTATTGTGTATTCGTCTGTTTATGTTTATTTGCAATGGAAATAAAAAATGTGGCCTTTATCTGATTTTTGTGCTCCGTTGTTCAAGTGAATTTTGTCTCGCCTGTGACGCAGTATGCAGGACATAGTGATTACTATACAGCGGAGGTGACAACGTAAAATATTGGTTTAAAGCTTTATATATCAGAAGGTAGTTGTAAGACCTGGATGCTTCATACCTGGTATGCAGAAGTCTTCTGTTACAAAGTTTTTGTCTGTAATATGTCCTATGTCCTCGACCTCATTTTTAGTCCCCAACCAACGAAGTCAAAGGGGACTTTAGGTTTGCACTCTGTCCGTCCGTCTTTCTGGCAAAATCAGTTTTCCACACTTTTTATACGACCGCAAAAAATTTTTGCGGTCGTATATTGGTTTGGCGTCGGCGTCGTCATCCGGCGTCATTGTCCGAAGACACATTGGTTTTCGCACTCTTACTTTAGTTTAAGTGAATGGATCTCTTTGAAATTTTACCATAAGGTTCAATACCACAAAAGGAAGGTGGGGATTGATTTTGGGGGTTATGGTACCAACAGTTAAGGAATTAGGGGCCAAAAATAAGCATTTTCTAGTTTCCAGACAATAACTGGAACGGTGTATGGATCTCTCTGAAATTATACTACAAGTTTCCATACCACAAAGGGATGGTTAGGATTTGCTTTGGGGGGTTATGGCTCAAACCGTTTAGGAATTAGGGGCAAAAATGGGGGAAAAACAAGGTTGTCCTGGTTAATGGACAAATACTTTAGTACAAAACATAATTTAAAGCAGTGTAAAGGAGATAAATCAAATACATCATTGAAATTATCTCCCTTACACTGCTTTTAAATTATGTATAAAGTAATGGTTAATGAACAATTAAGATAATTTAAAACCGTGTAAGGGAGGTAATCCAAATACAACGTTTTGGTTACTTCCCTTACACTGCTTTTAAATTATGTTTAAAGAAATGCATATTTATAAAGGAAGACCAGTAAAAATATCTGCAAATGTTGCATCTTTTTTTTTTTACAAAAAAATTCATATGAAAGATTTGACACTATATTTTAAATTCTATTATAAAATAGATTAAGTTAGCACTATGGTAAATTTAAATGGGTAATTATGGTTGCAAACTCCATTGGAAATTTGAATTGAGATTATGACCATATCTTGAGGGAAAGAATTTTTTGGGGGAAAAAAGGGGGGGGGGGGGGGGATAGAAAGAAATTATGGGGGGTCAATTTTTTCTCATTTCAGATTTCAGAAATTAAAAAGAATTATTCTTCAAATATTTTTTTTTTTCAAGTTTCAAATATTGAAAAATTTCAAGAAGTAATCTTTAATTGCACAGTATGGCGCATTAGATATGTAAAATCTTTGACCACATTTATTTATTTGTTATGCCGAATCTAACCGTGTATTTAGATTTTTAATTTTGGGGCCAGTTTTCAAATTGGTCTACATTAAGGTCCAAAGGGTCCAAAATTAAACTTTGTTTGATTTTAACAAAAATTGAATATATGGAGTTCTTTGATATGCTGAATCTAAACATGTATTTAGATTTTTGATTTTTGGCCCAGTTTTCAAGTTGGTCCAAATTGGGGTCCTAAATTAAACTTTGTTTGATTTCAACAAAAATTGAATATATGGGGTTCTTTGATATGCTGAATCTAACCATGTATTTAGATTTTCTTATTTGTGGGCCCGCTATCAAATTGGTTCATATTGAGGTCAAAAGGGTCCAAAATTAAACTTTGTTTGATTTCATCAAAAATTGAATTATTGGGGTTCTTTGATATGCCAAATCTAACCGTGTTTTTAGATTTTTTATTTTGGGTCCCATTTTTTAAATTGGTCTACATTAAGGTCCAAAGGGTCCAAAATTAAACTTAGTTTGATTTTATCAAAAATTGAATTCTTGGGGTTCTTTGATATGCTGAATCTAAACATGTGTTTAGATTTTTGATTATGAGCCCAGTTTTCAAGTTGGTCCAAGTTGGGGTCCAAAATTAAACTTTTTTTTATTTCAACAAAAATTGAATATATGGGGTTCTTTGATATGCTGAATCTAACCATGTATTTAGATTTTTTATTTGTGGGCCCCGCTATCAAATTGGTTCATATTGAGGTCAAAAGGGTCCAAAATTAAACTTTGTTTGATTTCTTCAAAAATTGAATTATTGGGGTTCTTTGATATTCCAAATCTAACCGTGTATTTAGAATTTTAATTTTGGGTCCCGTTTTTTAAATTGGTCTACATTAAGGTCCAAAGGGTCCAAAATTAAACTTAGTTTGATTTTATCAAAAATTGAATTCTTGGGGTTCTTTGATATGCTGAATCTAAACATGTGTTTAGATTTTTGATTATGGGCCCAGTTTTCAAGTTTGTCCAAGTTGGGGTCCAAAATTAAACTTTGTTTGATTTCAACAAAAATTGAATATATGGGGTTCTTTGATATGCTGAATCTAACCATGTATTTTGAATTTGGACATTGGACCATAATAGGTAAATTAAAAAAATTCAAGTTCTTAGACCACATTCTTTCTGTGTCAGAAACCTATGCTGTGTCAAATATTTAATCACAATCCAAATTCAGAGCTGTATCAAGCTTGAATGTTGTGTCCATACTTGCCCCAACTGTTCAGGGTTCGACCTCTGCGGTCGTATCAAGCTGCGCCCAGCAAAGCATTTTATTTTCTTCGTGCTTGAAGATATTGATTTGATATTTGGTTTATATTTTCATCATGGACAAGTTACAGATCAAGTTCAAATTTTGTTCCTTTCTGATGATTTTGTCTAGAGTTATGGTCCATGGACTTAGTAAATTCACCCAAATATTCAGTTTTCCGCACCTTTTTTCTTCGTGCTTGAAGATATTGAATTGATAAGTTATCTACGTTCATATCCGTAGATATGGATATTTTAACACCCTGAAGTATCCAAGTACACCCTGAGGCGCAGCCGAAGGGTATACAGGATACTGATAACGAATTTATCCCCGGTCTTAGTCTAAATCTGGCAATTTTTTTAGAGAAATTCGACCACAAAGTTTAACGTGAAAGCAACGTTTTTTTCATTTTTTAAATATCTTTTATTGAAATCTGGGAATTTGACATAA